ACAGCCACTTTCTCTTAGTTCAATGAGAAGGAAGTTTTGAACTAGTAGTTTTTAGACAAGATATCATGTCTGCATCTTGTACTATGAATAATTACTATGAAGATAAGAATATGCAATCCATTAATTATTGTAACTGTCCTACTAACCTGTTTTGAAACTGTCTCGTTGCTAATTCTTTCACAATAAAATTAATATAAAGAAACTATTTAGAGTCCTCAAATTTTTTTCGCATCATGTCAAATTTCTTAATTTTTAAGTTCTTACAAGTGGCCTGGGGCGATAGCTCAGCAGTCTAAGCACCTGCCTGACAAGTACAACTACCTGGGTTAAATCCCTGGTACTGCCTGCCTTGCCTACGCCCAGAATCCCACGCATGCTGAGTCACCCCAAAGCAGGCGTGGTGGCATAGCCTTGGAATCCCAGTGCTGGGAAGGTTGAAGCAAGGGGATCACTATTTATTTGAACTGTGTAGCAAGACCCTGTACCAAATATGTAAAAATAAATAAAAATTAAAAGAAATAATATGTAAGCATGTAAGCACGAAAGAGAAGGACATTTTCTAAATACTGAAAATATAGGGCTGGAGTATAGTGTCTACCTAGTAAGGGCAAGGTTGTGAGTTTGCTTCTTAGAAATAGATAAATAAAAGCATAAATAAACAAACCAAAACATTTTTATAGGTAAGGCCATTTTCCATGCTTTATTATGATGTCCGTGTCCACTTTACTTGCAGTACCGACAAACACAGTAACATAGTTGGATGAATAAGCTATTTCAAAGAGAGACTTGCAGGTGTCTGTTACATAGGTTGTTATTTGATTCAGACTCAGGCCTTCCTCAATTTTTAAAGTTTCCTTAACACCACGAATCCATTCACCTTCAGGTAGAGATCCTCCTCTTATGCCACACCTTCTCAGCCACATTCACCAGGTTCAGCTTCAGTGGAGAGACAGATGTTCGTATCTTTCCCTGATCTTTATGACCAGGCTTATCTTTTCTGAGCCAGGTAGGTATTAAACAAACACATTGCTGTGATGGTGGAACTTCTAGAAGACTTAAAATCCTCTCATGTTGGTGGTTCAGGGAGGATCTGAAGCCCAGTAACACAATCACAAGGGCCTGCAGCAAGGACTCTATTTTCTGGGTGCCTGAGAGGTTATAGGGCAAGGGATAAACTATTGGAGAGCTGTACAGCTCCAGGGACATTGCACTGATGTCGGGACTCAGGCAGAGGACCTTGGTCATGACACACAGCTTCCCAGTGTAGCCACCCATGGTCACCAGCTTCTGCTTCAATGTCAAGGCAATGTGGTTGCAGTAGTCCTGCCCTTCTGCATCCTGATCCCCCAGAATGGTGTACAGAGTGGGGCGACTGTTGTGCGCAATGAGTAGAGCATCGCAGAGGACTCCCTGCTTCTCTTCCAACCCCAGGTCCACAGCCCAGCTTCTGGAAAAGATCAGAATTCCCCAGGAGGCAGGACGAACTTGCTGATGTATTAACTCCTCCAATCCTTTGTGCTGTGAGGACAGCTCCACCCAGAGTGATTCAGGGATATACTGCCAACGTCCTGGTGATACTAGGCAAGAAAAGAAAAAAGAAGGTTTGAAAACTGTATTTGTATTGTTTTGTGAATTACATTTGACACTTAGAGAATAATGCATGCACAAGGTGGCCTAGTGATTAATGATGCACATTAACTAGACAGGATGTTTGTCTCAGGACTGAAGTAGCTTGTTTGCTTTAGGCACTCTCCACTCAGGGAACATTTGAAGCCCAGTAAGCCAACCACAAGGGCCTGCAGCAAGGACTTCATTTGCTGGGTGCCTGTGAGGTTATAAGACCAGGGATAACCTTCAGATCTTTAACCACGTGTGATCTTTAAAATGGAGAATACAGCCCCCATGAGAAGAGCACAATTTAAGAGAAATTGCCCAGTGCCCCTCTCTTGAACTTGTGTCATACAAGTCTGGTGAACTGAGGGATAGTGTCTCTCTGCTACTTCATGGAGAGCAAGTGTGCCAAACACTGTGTAATTAACCAAGGCCGAGGAACTGAACATGGTGTGTGCAGCTCCCCCTGCATTTTGCATTCTTGTTATAGAATGTTTAAAAACTGCTATGATAAGCTAAAGACTGAAAGAGCTCAAGTAAATAATCTCTTAGATTAAAAATACACCTACAATAGATCTAATATATTAATTACCTTGTATTGATACATGTTTAGACACGTGTAAGACATTTTTATACTCCCGTTTACTGCCACTCTCACATTTATTATGTTCTACTTATGAATGAAACAAGCCACTTGCCACCTCCAAAAATATGGATTTGTTTTTCAAAGTAGAAACTCTTGTATGAAACTTAGCTAAGTAATTTTTTAGGCAGGGAAGAAAAGTTTGTCTAACATTAACTATGGTTTTGAACTGCTATAATGTGCTACCTCTGTGACACTGGGAATGTCTCCCTGTTTTCCTCTCTAAAAAGAAATTTTCGTAGTTCACAAGTGTTGTCTTACCAGGTTGACATTTGTATTTTTTTGTAGGTGCAGTCCTTCATCCCCGTGAGGCTGACCAGAGGAGGTCAGTTATTCCTGTGTTCCAGTCTAACGTTTTGCCTATGGTTGTGCCACATTATGAGTTTCCAAGTCCAGCAAAGAATCAGACTCCGTGGACAAGGTTGCTCAAATGTATACTCAGGCCTCAGTGCTGAAATTTACATGTTTGTCAGCACTAAGAGGAGGCCTGCACATGTCAGTATTGTCTCTGATATTTTTTTTTTTGTGGTGTTTTGTATTGAATCCAGAATCTCAGGCACAACAGGAAAGCACCCTAACACTGAGCCAATCCTGAAGTCATGTTTCTGATAAATCAGGTTTCTACAATTGTCAAAAGGCCAGGGAGATAGCTCAGCACCTGCCTGAAACCACCATGAAACTCATTCCAAGGAACCTGTGCCATTGTCATTTCATACAACTGGAGTTGCAAGATATAACCTTTCATGGAAATATATTTAATATTTTCTAGCGAATATATTCAATCATTTTGTTTTCATATAATGCATTTCATTGCATAGTACCTGGAAATAAAAGCTGTTGAAGATGGGCTGTATGTTTCATGCCTTTTCTGCAGTGTGGAAGACTGTCAGATAGACTCAGCTGAGATGCAAAACCTTCAGCAAAATCTGAAAGAACAAAACACCTTATGTGACATTGTCCCTCACCACTGGGAGAGTCCACCCAAGGTAGTCTCTAAATTTCATTTAACTTGGTATCATGCAGGCCACAGACTGCAACGCTACATCCTTTCTAGACTCATTATCACACTTCCCAAAGCTCAGAGAGCTCCAATTTTGAATCTTGAATAGTTTTGCCCCCTTTCAATATAATGATCCTTCTTCTACATTTACTATCTCTTTGTTTGACCTGTAGGGGAACTGAAGATAATCTCTGTTGAAATGCTCTATGGGGCCAGAGAGATGGCTCAGTAGGATAAGCGCTTGATTGGCAAATGCAAGGATCTGAGTTCAAACCCCGGTTCCGCCAAAAAAAAAAAAAAAAAAAAAAAAAAGAAATGCTCTAATTGTGTATTTCATAGGTTTACACTTTCACTAATCCCAACAGAAAAGAACCTCACTCATTGGCTGCTGCCGTCAGAGTTAATCTCATGCAAATATGAGATACAAAGAAACCATTACTATCAAACTCCATAAAATTCTAATTAGACAACTTTAAATAGTTATATTGGATTTTGTCTTTTTCTCACCTATGAAAATGCATATAAAAGTGTAGAGATTGAAAAAGCCCATTTCAGCTCTCAGCTACAGAAAATAAAGACATGGAATTGCCCCAGGGGTAGGAGAGACAGAGAAGGAGCCCCCTCCCTCTTACCTGGATCTGTGCCCATCATCTTTGCTATCCATTCAGTCATATTCATTCTGACGATTTCCTGCTGCTCATTCACCTTCCATGAAACAGGGTCTTCTGAGAACGCCACACAGCAGAACGGCTCGATTTTTACCGCAACGACGTAACCATATAAGGCTTCCTCTTTGTACACATCTATGAATTTGACCTCAAAGGATACTCGTGCATCAGTGGAGCAAAAATGGAAGACTGGCAGCTTGGAAACTGCTTGTGCTATCACTCTTTGCAAAGAGTCACGGTCAACATTTTCTTTTGGACATCCCAGGACTTTCCTATCCTCATCTTCCACTCCAATAAAAAGGTAGCCTCCTTTATTATTGGCAAAGGCAGGGGTGTACTTTTGAATCGCTTTTTTTACATATTGGTTGATTTTGGGTGTGGAAAAGTGCTTAAACTCTACAGAATGAGACTCAGGAAAAGGCAGGATGTGACCATATTCAAGCTTCTTGCTTTGGAAAACTTGGAAAGCAGGATTTGATTCCAAGATGTCCTGATGTCCAGATTCTTCATTAATCCGTGCTTTCTGTGCATTGTTTTTCTTGATCTTCAGGAAATTGTACGCCTGCCTTGAATTCAAGCAAATTGTAGAGGTCCCAGATCTTCGGTACAGAGAAGAGCACATACTGCAAATGGGGGGCTTGTCAGAATTGTCTTCAGGCAGAGCACCCCTTCTCCAAGACTTAACAAAAATATGGAACATCCTTCCTTGTTTCTCTGTATCAAAGAAATCATCAAAAATGTCTGAAGGCAGAATTAGCTCTGTCAAGGCCTCCTGCAAGTCCAAGCCCAGGTCGAGAGGACAGTCAGTCTCATTTGCTATTTCCATCCGAATCACTCCTCCTCCTGAGTTTAACAGAGCACATGCAGCCTGCACAACTTTCTCCTTCTCTTTTTCCTTCCGAATTTTTGGCAGCTTCTTCCTGCATTTTTCACCAATGGTCACTTTTCCTACACGGATGACCAGGTCTGGCTGAGATGGTTGCAGCAGGGGTGAGCAGTCATCTGTCTGCATGTTGATCCCAGAGCTGAAAGTATCAGAACATTTGTTTCAGTTTTCCCATGAAGTTAATTGCTCTACACACTGAGTCCATATTCCTAGTTGTTAAAAATATTAACACTGTGTCTAATGTGTTTTTAGACAAAAGAATAAGGGTACAAGCAATACAGCTGAGTTGGGGCAGCAGAAGGATCAGCAGCAGGCCTGCTTGTGCTGTTTCTGTACTCTGGTCTGGCTTTCACAGTCTTAACTGTGTGCTCCGTCTGGCACCATGGGGAGACGGGACAATCGGGTGGCCTACATGAATCCAATAAGAATCAGCAGATCAAGAGGTCCGATCCACTCTTCAGGGCCAACCATCCAGGATTATCTGAATCGACCCAGGCCTACCTGGGGAGAAGTGAAGGAACAACTAGGAAAAAAAAAAAAAAGAAAGGCGCTAGCTAAGGCTTTGACTGAATTTGAAGAAAAACAGGAAAGAGAAATGGAAGAAAGAACTAGAAAAGCACAGAAAGAAATTAGTAAGTGGAAATGAGAGCTCAAGAAAAAAAAGAAAGAAGAAAGAAAAGAAGAAATCTGGCAGGTATTCATCTTCTTCATGGAGCTCCGATTGTTCTAGCAGTTCTTCAGAGTCTGAGGATGAGGAAAAGAGGCAAGCAAAAAGGAGAAAGAAAAAGAAGAACCGCTCATATAAATCTTCCGAAAGCTCCCTGTCAGAAACTGAGTCAGACAATAAGGGTAGTTTAAAAAAGAAAAAGAAGTCAAAGAATTCAACTGAGAAAGGAAAGGACATTAAAGCACTTACCAAGAAAAGAAAGATGTATCCTGAACATAAACCTTCTTCATATGAGTCCTTGTCAGAATTAGATTGTATTGTAAAGGTGTGAATGAAAAAGAAGAAAAGCAGTGAAGAAGGAAAAAAAGCAACAGAAAAAACAAAAAAGAAAAAGAAGCATATGAAACACAGTAAGAAGAGAAAGAAGGCTGCTAGTTCAAGTCCTGAGTCACCATAACATCAGGAAAAACCACGACTGCCCTATAAAGAAAGAGCAATGTCTAAAGAAATATCAGCTATGAAATTACAATATATTTACTAACATGCATGAATTGTCTTCTTCTTAGAATTGTTCCTGGACTATTTGATAGGCACTCCAATGCCACTATATGAAAGGCCATAATTGTTGCTTGCTGCTTGAACATCTACCTTTTCTCCTCTAGTTCCTGATAACCTGGAAGTTAACACAATGCAGTCACACTCATGGTTAAAACGTTTGAGAAGAAAACTAATATTTTTGACTAGAAATATCTAGTGATAAATCAATGGGAAATGAATCTGGATACATCTTCAGATATAACCAGAGATGGCCAAATAACTCTAGTTAAGTATTTATTTATTTATTTATTTATATTTTCCCCCATAATTTTATTGACAGACAAATAGCAATGAGACCATTTCAAATCAAATTGGTAGGACAGTTTCAATAATTAACACATTGCATACTGTCTTCCTAGTGGTTATTTGCTGTACAAGATGCAGGATATATCTATCCTAACCATTTTGAATACACAGATAAAAAATGGACATTCATTTATGTATCCCATTTTTTGTTTAGTTCCATCATTTGAATATTATAGGTGTGTTAGCAAAAATATTCTAAAAGAGTCCAATAATCCATAATAGTATTGGGTCTTTCACTTCACTGACAGTGTCAGAAATTTTTGAGGGGCTGGTGAGATGGCTCAGTGGTCTAAAGCACCTACTTAGAACAAGCTTAGCAAAGCACAGGGACCGTGGTTCGATCCCTTAGCACCACATGCCAGCCAGCCCCGCCCCTAGGTGGGCTGAGCTGGACACACACACACACACACAAATAAATTTTTTTTAAAAAAGAAATTTTGACCTGAGTCCCCTACAGCTCAACATAGCAGCATATCTTTACTTCTTATATTTTGTTTTTATACTTTTCTGCTGGATGGTTAAGACCAAGGTAAAGCAGGACCTATGCAACAAAAGTTGTAGCTTTTTGGTCTGATAAGGTCAGTGAAATCCCCTCAGGATTTATCCTGAGATCCTGTATAGTTAAATTTTTTAAAGCAGGGATTACATTAATATTTTGAAATCCTTACTCTGTAGATAAGTGTATCTTAATTTTTTTCTCTTGTCTACTTTTTATTTACCTCAGGAAGGAACTTTTAGGGTGGAGGGAGGCAGACCTTGCACATACAGGATACAGAGGCATCACATTCCTGCCATAATTCCACATCCATAAGATGTAGGAGGCCTGACATTCCTGACTGGTTGCCACAGTAACAAAGAAACTATAAAAGCAGGTGAGGAACAAAGAACTGGGTCTTTGTGTCTTCCCAAATGGGGAAAGGAGCACATAGGTTGCTAGCTAATTGATAAAAGTTCTGTTAGTCCTTTTAATTTGATGCCCTATGAGCAATATACTCAATCCTGGTCATTATATTTGGGGGCTCATCTGGGATTCCCACAAGCAAGATGCTCGTGCAAAAGGCCTGCCTGGCCTCCATGCCTGTGAGCCACTTCTGGGTGGTCTTTGGCACCACAAACTCATTTCAGCAAACTGACCGAAGTGGCTGAAGGAACGGAACACCATTGTGTGTCATGGAATGAAATAACCTACTCTGACCTAGCTGAGATTTGATTGGCTGTTGTTCTTCTCTTGAAGCTGATTTTGTTGGTGGGCCCCAACTTCCAGATGTGGAAGATTGTGTCAATCTATCTCAGATGAATATTCCAGAGATACTATTAACACATTGTTTCTCTCATTGAGAGAGTTTGTTTTCTCATAGATAAATGTTCCTGGATTACTTTCTCTTGGGCTGGAGGCCTCATGAGGTTCATTTTCCTTATGTGTTTTGAGTTTGTTGCAGGGGGGGACCCTGCCTTTATTTTGAGTTTGTTGTAGGAGGGAGCCCTGTGTTGGTTTACCAGGAAATATATGAGAATGTTGGAATGCATTTACTTTGGTTTGAAATCCAGCCAAGAGTTTAAATTAGTAAAGAAAAGAGGTTGAAGGAAAAGAAAAGGAAACACATTTTTTTCCCCAGATGTTGTTGTCCATTTGTTTGTCTGAATTGTTTGTCTGATTTGTTTGTTTTCTGTCCCCAATATGCCTGTGTCCCCAGTTGTACTCCCTCCTGGAGGTAACCACTGAGCCCATAGCTTGGGCTGGGGCAGTGGTATTAGTTCTCTTCTTTTTTTCCTTCTTGCCTCTTGTGACAGTCTACCTAGAAATATAAAAGGGTGCAGATCTAGCTC